TAATTACCTTAAGTTTTGCTCCTCCATTTCGATGAAATTTCTGGTTGAAGCTGTCTTGAGTTTTAAGCCAACAAGACCTTTTTGTGGCTCCTCTTTTGTCTTGACTGGCATGAAAACAGGAGTGTTAATTGTATCTCTACTAATGCTCACTAGTGCTGTACCTCTTTATGGAGCTCCTAAACAAGTTTCTCTAGGAAGAAAACAGAAGTTTTACTTTTTATTTTATATTTTACTTTTGTTTTACCCTGTATGTTATAGTCCGTCTTTGTAGAGCAAACCATGGTTATATAACAGCATGCCCATTATAGATTCATTTGCTGGTATAATGGCCTCTTTCTGGTACATTATTGCTTATCTCCAGTTTCATATTCAACAGTATTTATTATCTTGATTACATCTGAGATATCTAGGTCTTTAAAAAATCCTCATAATTAACACCTTGTTGCACCATTCTGGCCCTTACAGTCATTTCACCAACATCTGTGATTATTTGAATGTCTTTCGTAATTATCATCACCTTGACTTATCTAACAGCTAAAAGTAACGTTTCAGGAGTTTTTGTTGTTTCTACCTACACAGACATCTATATACTGATGTATTGGATTTACTTTGAGAGAGGTTATTTGGTTGTGGCAAGTGAGTAGTTTAGCTGGTGAATGTTCACAGTTAAAAGTAGCTGGAATGACCTCTGGCAGACGTCAGTGATTACTTGTGAGACTGAATTTTTCCATAATCCATCTTCATTTATGGCCTTGGTATTGCAAACCAATCCTTTCTGATTCTACAGCCAAGGAGAATTTTTTTTCCAAGAGTAGGATAAAGTTCAAGGAAATCTGTGTCAGTGTTTACAAGACTATTTTTCCCCTTTTGCAAAAATGTCTAAAGTTTTGCAGACATCTTTAAGCATACATATCTCACAGGTGACACTGGAAATTATCCATCCAGTTGCAGAATTTCACTAAGAAGGATATAGTTATTACACAAGGGTGGGCAGGAGATTCCAAGTACTGCCTGCTATTTACCAAGTGTCCCTCAGTGGGAGAGAACCAACCAACAGGGCCACATCAGGGAGCATTACTAAGCAAAAACAAAATGCACAGATAGCAGTGTCGGATAACAAACACCAAAGGGGTGGAGACGAGGGGGTCAGCGCACTTATCTGAGATACCATTGAGTTCACTGTCCTACCACAAAGGGAAATTCACAGGCCTCATTTCTCAAACACCACTCGGGACAAAGCAGGAGGGAGTAAACAGCATCATCCCCATGGCAGCATTACAGACAAGTCGTAGATCGGCAGGTAGATGTCTACCGAAGGCTTATAAGTGCCCAATTTTCAACAAATACATAGATGCGAGCCTTATCCTAATGGAACATGTTTTTTATACTTATTCTTAAAAAGTAGACAAGGTATGTGGTGAATTATGTGGTACTAGAAGTAGACAAATTTTCTAACACTTGGCACAATATGTAGTGGGAAGAGAAGACAATAATTTCTCATTTTTGGCAATAAAACAGTAATGAAGGGAATACATCAAAGGCCAAATGATTTACATTAACAGCACACTTGTACACATTCTGTGCAAACGAATTTTAAAGTCACATTGTACTATATTCTTGGTGTAGTATGTACAGGTATTCCCAGAATGGCAGGGATCCCCAGGAATTAGAGGAATAACATTCGTATAAAGAGGAACAGTAAGCTTCAGTACACAGGGATACAGCCAAAGGCCATTGTTTTCTCTTCTGCTTTGAGATAGTGAGCTCCTTTTAAGGATTTGCTGCCAAAATCTAGCCTCCAGGGCATATGTCACCCATGCATATTCAGTCCGATTTATTTCAGTTTTGATATTTCATCTATAACACAGAGAAGACTGGTAATCAAAATAATATCAGGCAATCCTCAAGATTAAAGAAGTATCAAGGATCAAATTACATTTAACAGAGCTAAACTTGTCAAGGTAAGAAATCATTACTAATACATGTTCCAAATATTTCATTTCAGATACAAAAAAAAAAAAGCTTTCTGGTTAACATTGGCTTAATGAAATGTTCCACTTACTCTATTCACCCCAAACACAAAGGTTAACCAGGATGTTACTGTACGTAAAGCAGCTGGTATGCGGCCCCCAAAATTCAGAAAGACATCATTAGAATAGCACTCAAGGTAAACCCAAGACAGTTGAAGAGGTGCCATTTTTTCCTATGGTCATAAACATAGAACAATCAATATTAAAATTACAAATTCTCACATTCACTTGGTTAGGAGTCTAGCATCTTAACTCTATAAATGTTGAAATTATTTCCCAGATGCAGAATTCTAACTCATCTCTTTTACTACTGGTTTCTGAGGTATTTTCTAGTTCTTGATGTAATTAAATATTTTCTTTCCATATTCCAAAATCTATGGCATGAAGGGGACCTAATCATGCCTAAAAGAAATGAAGGACAAATCCCAACAACTGTCAACCCAACGCATATCCATACAGATGCAGGAAGGAATTACCAAGTAAATTCTAAGGGTGTGCCAGGAAAATTGTTCTGCATCTTCATTTGTTGAATGAACCTAAAATGTCACAAATAACGTAGTACTAAAGGCTGAAGCTGGGTCAGAGTGAAGTGAAGGAAAATTTTCACATGAAGTTTTATTAGGTAACTTAGGGTTAGTATCATAACATAAGACACTGCTGTCTTGAGTAGGTTCCTATCTTGTTTACCCATTTGATGGTACATTTCTGTTCCTGTTTCTAAAAGCTATTAGTTCTATGCTATTGAATAAACAACAAAATAAGCAAGGTTTTGTAATATTTAGTGACAATTTTTAGAGTGTTTTAGAAATAACAGTTCTAGCACCTAAGAAAACTGGTTAAACTTGCTACATCGAACATTCTCTCTGGAAGTTTTTAAGAGGCCTACAATCCTAAATTTAGCAACTTTAATTTATTTAATGTGCAACAAATGCCTACAACTCCCTTTAGCATCTGCTTCATTTAACTATTTATCAATCATGTGCTTACTCCAAACTCATGAAAATAAAAACTATTACCGAACGCTAAACTCTTTCTTCTCTCCTATTTTGATGCAAGAACAGCTTGTACTAGCCACTTCAGAGCAGAGGATTACCTAGGGGCCACCCATCTGGAGTGAGCAGAGCTGACAGCTGCTGCTGTGTACACAGGGTGTACTTCGTGTCTACACAGCACGCATCTCAGTGTGCAAGGGGGAAGGCCAGGGAGCAAGAGCCAGGAGGGAGATTATGTCCTGGCAAAAGTATCAGAGACAAAAGTGACACGGGCAGAACTGCAAATGGGTATTTAAGGTCAAAAGAGAGCTTTACACGAAATTTCTAATCATCGCTAGTGATTTGGTAATTTGCCAGTAATTTTGACTTTACATTCTTAATAGAAGCCAATTGATAAGAAACTGAAAAGTGTATCTTCTTGAAAGTTCCAAGTATAACAACTGCGATTACCATTCTCAGGCTCTGAGAGCGCTGTGACTGTGGTCTGCTTAAGCAGCTTCCTCTATGGTCCTACTGCTGGCAAAGAACTCAAAGCCTTTTTAGTAATTTAGGTTGTGTCCAGTAAGCTTGTGGTGTTCAAGTTCAGGTATGATTCCCCCCCCCCCCGCCCCCCGTATGCTCAGAATCTGCAAGACAGAATTAAAATTAAAAAAACCCCAAACAAATACTGTGTGTTGACTATACAAATGGGATGTATGAGACTCTGGAGAGAAAACCCGTGGGCAGACACTCTCTTCTGCTCATCACAGGAAATGTGCTCCGAGGAGGCAACCAGTGCCCCTCCAATATCCAACTGCTTGGTTTTCTAAACAAAAGATAGAGACCGGCGCCCTCCCTACGTGAAACCAGGAAGACGTCTCAAGGCCCAGCTCACTTCCCCTTTCCACATTACCACAGCACTCAAGCCATGGCTGCTCATCCCAGGCCAGTGTGGTGGAGGACACCCATGTGTCCCGGGGAAGTGCAGGTGAGGGCTGAACTCAGGCATCTATACTCTCAAGGGACACATCCCACCCAAAGCACAAGCCATGTTTTAGTAAAGGCCAGTGTAAAGGGTGAAATGAAATAAGACGTGATGGTATTTCTCCCCAAAATCAGTAAGTTTGCAGAAGTTACCATTTAGTCCAGATTACAAACTCAAATAATTAGATGATATTAGTTTACATACAAAAACCTGCAAGAAAGCTCCTGTTCTGTGGGGTGGGACCCTATCTGCTGTTAGAAACTACTGACCTAAACTGAAAGGAAAACGCAAATTACATCCTGTTTACAGGGGTCTGAATGAAGCATTGTTTTTGTTACTCATGACGCTTTCCTTTTATCAGTACAGAAAAAAATGTATTTGGTAACCTCCTGTTTATAATTCCTCCCCAGAACCTTAGTATTCTCAGCAGAATATTACTGGAGAACCCTTGTAGAGCATCAAATCTAGCATTATTCCTAATTTAATAATTCTTTTCAAGAATTCAGTCTCATAAGTATTTCCTTTAGGGTAAAAAAAATGAATTATGTCTGGTCAGAATCATAGAGATACACCTTGCCTTCAGTGTAAGAAAATATGTGTATCGAAATCCAGGTTTGATGTAGGTGGTATTTCTATTCAAAAGCTAAGCTGGTTTTCCTAATATAACTTTCTTGTATTTATGAACAACTATAACAAGGGTTATAAAAGGGGTTATCTGCAGATGTTTACAAATATTAATTCACATTAGGCATTTTACACCTTTAAGTGCTTTTGTTTAATACATTATCTGGCCTAGGAATGAGTCAATTTTGTTTCAATGTTTTACTTCATGGTTCTTATTACCTACTCACATTTTGTGTGATAACAGCATTCTTATTGCAATAGAAATAGAAATTATAACAGTATTTTTGCTAATAGTGTTTTTGCTACTTTTAATAGAAAGCAAAGGTTTTAATGGAAATACCGTTGTGTAATAAATTGAGGCAGTAATACAAAATAACACCACGCATAATGTTAATGCTATTTCTATGAGCAACACCAATATTTATAGAAAAAAAACCCCAGTGAATATTATTTCCACTTAAAGTTGCAAACCTTCCGTGGAGCTTGCTTCTCTTTGCTTGTTCTGTCTTTCAAATTGAAATGATGTTTTTATTTTTAGAGCTCCAGCCAAAGGACCTAATGATTTTTAAAAGCAATTTCCTATAGTTCATGCTTGCTTTTTCTTCCTGGTCACACAGAAGAACACTCAGCAAAGCCTTGACGCAGGTGCACACGGACTGAGACCCTAAGTGCACACAGACCTCCAAACCCGCTCCTTTTCAGTCTAACACGGAGGACGGGGCCGGACGCACGCAGCAGGTGGGGCGCCGGAAGTTCTGCAGCATGGACTGGAAAACGCGGTGCTGCCTGCCTTTGAGCTTCTTATTCGATGAAGTATCCGAGGAAATGGATCTCCGGGGCTGGTTGTTTTGGGTTTTGATTAATTTCTCATGTTCCCTGATTTGTCTTTGTAAATGGTTCTGGATGGCGATTCCCAGGGACTCCGGGTCCAAGGATGCCCCGTACACTTCCCACGTCATTCCCTGCTCATCCCACACGACATCCTTGACGCGCTTGGACTGTTTCAGCTGAAGCTTGGATTCCAAGCTGAGCTGCTTTTTCTTATCGCCTGGAGTGAGTCCCACTTGAGCGGCAGCTGCTGTCACGTTTAACTTCTGCTCCTTGAGGAACTCGCTGACCCGGCTGGCCCTGCGCGGGCTGGCTTTGACCGAGCGAGAAGGGGTCCTCTTGCCAGAACCCGGGCTGGAGTCACCCAGGGAATCCGAGGGCAGGCTCAGGCTTGTGGCTGTCTTGGGCTGTCTGTTTTCTTCGGAGGTGCCCTCCTGGGTCTTTCTAATCGGAGAAGGAGTAGGACTAGCAGCGGCCGCTGTGCCTCCACTTTCTTGAGCTTTGGGATTGAGCAGCAGGGTTTTGGCCTCTGGGGTATCAGGGCCAGGAGACTCTTGTTCTCTTACTATCTGTGGAGACGCAGGCTTCTTCTCCCTTGTGTTAGTGGGACCCAAGCTTCCGGACTGGTCAGCTTCGATGGCAGGACTGCAAGAGGCCAACAGTTGGCAATCTGGGTCTGTTCTGTGGCCATTTGTGGTTTGCACAGACGGCTTGGTGTTAAATTTCCCCAGTCCATGCCTTGTTTCAGCTTGACTGCCCGCTTTGGTAGAGATGTGGTCAGTGGGGTCAGCTTTCAGGGGGCGAGAATTAGTATCTGGCAGCTGTTTAGCGGTTGGTTCTTCCCTCGCTGGGGTCATTCCTGCTGACTTCCCATCTTTACACATATCCTGGGCATTCCTGGAGGCCACATTGATTGACGAGGTTTCCACGACCTCGCCTGGTGGGGTCTCTGGTTTCCTGCCCCCTGGGAAAGCTGCGGAGACAGCTGCAGCTGTCTGAATGCGCACCTGAGGCATGATGCCAGAGCACTGACCAGACTCCCGAGGGACTTGTGTGCCCTGGGAGAGCTCCAACTTGTGGCCCCGACTGCCAGCGCTGTGGCAGATCACACTCAGCTGCTCGTGTTCCGAGTGCAGAGGAGCAGGGCTTGCCTTTAGGAAGGCAGTGAGGATGCTGGGGCTGGTGGAGACGGCCCTGCTCTCCACGCTGGCTACCGCCTGCACCTCTGCATCTTGCCGGGCCCTGCCGGGAGCCTCCTGGGTCTCACGGTCAGTGTGGCTGGTCATCGTGCTGGCTTCTCTGAACCTCAGCATCTGCTGTTGTGCCAGCAGCCCCTCCTTCTCTGGATCTGGAGGACATGCTGAGCCTTCACTGGTGGGAGGGAGTGGTTGAGGTGTCACAGAAGTTGTATCTTGGGGGTCAGAGGTGGTGGGAGAGGACTGCTTGTTCTCAGAGCATCCATCTCCTGCAGGAGGTTCACAGGGCCTAGCGTCAGAGTCACAGGCGGCTGGCTGTCTCTCCCCTTCAGGGCCACCTACGGTAGAGGGTGAATGAGTGGCCAGCCCGGCTGCTGTATCTGAAGCCTGCAGTGTTCCCTGGACTGCAGTTTGTGAAGGAAACTCACAGGACACGTGACCTTTGCTGCCTCCACAGGTGTCTCCTGCAGGACAACTTGGCTTCTCAGGTTGTTCCTCATTTGAGGTGCTCTGTGATTTCCCTGGGAAATCTCCAGGTACGGAAGAAGGGCTGGCACTGGACCAGTGGCCTGTGACCACCTGGGGTGTGTGCCGATCAGCTGGCATTGTAAACGATGCCTTTCCTGCTGCGGAACCTGGGGCTGCTGCTGGGGGCTGGCTGCTCCCTGGAGGCTGGGGGCTGCCGGGAGAGTTGAGTGGAGGAGATGCTTTCTCTACTTCATTAAAGACCCCAGGGGAAGACATGTCTGGCTGGGCGGTCTCATGCTCACAAGCCTGCATCAGGGCCTCAGCAGCTTCCCCGGGGCTGAGGTCTGCTTCTGCTGGGGCCCCTGAAAAGCCATTGGCATTCTTACACAAGAGAGCCGGTCTGTGCAGGGGTGCGGACGCCCGCAGCTCTCCCAGAGTCTCTTCTTTTCCAGAAGCTGCAATCAGGGAGGTTTTAGCCGCTCTCAGAGGGTCGGGGACCGTCCCCATGGAATCTCTCTTCAGGAACACTGCAGAGCTGTCCCTTGAGTGGGGAGGCAGGGGCTGCCCAGAGTGAGACACTGTCAGAGCTGATTCTTCTGCAGATCCAGCCTACAAATCAAGGAAACAGTGCCTTTAATACAGTACATCATTTAAGGACTGAAAAATATAGTCAAGTGTCATTCTCATAAGATTTCATGAGCACATTGAAACTTTTCTTCCTTCATCCGTTGATATAAAAGTAGATCTTGAGAAAAGACATTTTGAAAAAATATTCTCATTGTACAAATTATTCTTTTAATATATGAGTTTCTGTTTGCATCCTGCTGCTGCCTGGCAAATAGGTCTTTGTGATATCTACCTAAGTTTGATAACTAACTGCCTCGAAAGCTACTTGTATAATTTGCTTTATCAGACATTGGAAAATCCCGTAAAGCTACTATAATTAAATTAATAAGTATTGAAAGGCCTTAACTGGATATAGGAAATAAGATATCTAGAAATAGATCCAAGTATAAATGGGGATTCCATATATAACAAAAGAAGCATTTCAATTTGGTAGCAAAAGGTGGGGTAAAAGGTGGGGTATTTCATACAAATAAAGGGACTGGTCAATGATTTATTCATCTGGAAGAAAAGAAAACCAGATCTTTTTCTTATACCAATTCCAAAAATAAATTTGGGGTGGATTTAGATGAATTATAGGTTAGACTATAAAATAATTCATTAATTAAATAAAAATCTTGTCAGAACATCCAGGAATCAAAAATGTAATCCAGGTGAGCTAGGCAGTCAGGCTTCTTCTGACAAGGTAGGTACTACACAAGAAAATATAAACTTAAGGGACTAAATTAAATTCAAAACTTTTGCATGATCAAAGATGCCCTAAAAATACAATAGATTTGAATAAAAAACGTTTGCAAATCTAAAGGACAGGCCAAAATGTCATATTTATAATACAGAAGGAGCTCTTAAAACTTATAATTTTGTATTCTAAAAATCAAATTTATAAGGAGACCAAGTAACCCATTGGAAAAAAGATAAAGAATATGTAAATATAGTTTACAAGGCAGGAAATCCAAGTAACCAACAAATTTATGAAAAGATGCTTCAATTCATTTGCTGCCCAATACATGAAAATAAAGTGACAGTGAGATTTTACTTCATACCAGCTGCACTTGCAGAAACTTAAAAAAAGAAGACTTTTAACACTACAGCTTGGGAGACCTAGGAAAAGAATTTTTATTAATCGTAGGTGCAAATGTATGTTGTTACAGCTTTCTTCGGGAAGCAGTTTTGTTTTTAAAACTAAAAATACACATGCCTTTGACTCAGCGATACCAACTCTACCAGTAGCAATAAAAACACCAGCACATGAATACAGATACGGTTATGTTTATTGAAGCACTATTTATAGAGACAAAAACCGAAAACAGGCTGGTCCCCACAAGTGGGGGAAATGGTAGGATAGATCATGACACAGCTCTACTGTAGAATATTATGAAGCCATTAAAGTAAATAACTAATTTGCCTGTAATTTCTCCCACTCCAAGGATTTCCCTAAGGGATGGTCGAATGAGAAAAGCAAGATACAGCAAAAAGCATGGACATTTTCATTTTTGTAAAACAATGACCGAAAGCACTCCATATGTCTACACACACAGGGAGATGTGTTTGTGCGTGATTACATACATTCTAAAAATATTTGGAATAGGACAAATTAAGTGTTAAACAGAGGCAGAATAATGAGCTGAACGCAAGGAGGGGAGACGGAGGTACTCAAAGTTAGGGAAATGCAGAATTTTAAGAAAATATATCTTAATGATTTAGGGTATGTACTAAAAATGACATAAAATTGTACATGTGTTTATGTATAAACACTTTTTAGAAAGGATAGCTAGACACTAGGTCAGGTGAATAAAGCAATGCATCAGACATTACTGGATGACCATGTTTAAATATTTATCTATAATACCAGCCTGAGCAAGAGCAAGACCCAGTCTCTAAAATAGCTGGGCATTGTGGCAGGCACCCAGCTACTCCTCGGGAGGCTGAGGCAAGAGAATTGCGTGAGCCCAAGAGTTTTCTGTGAGCTATGATGCCACGGCACTTTACCAAGAGTGACAAAGTGGTGACATTCTGTCTCAAAATAAATAAATAAATAAATAAAAATAAATAAAAAATATGTATCTTGATAATAGTCTGTGTTACCTTAGGCTAATCACTTAATCTCTCTGGACCCCACATTAACTCATTGGCAAAATGACTTATAAGATTTCTAAAGGTGCTTCCAGCTGCAAAACTCAAGAGTCCTGCTTCTTTGCATGTGATAACTAATAAATCAAAGAGCACAATAGCAGCCCTGGCTACAAACTGTCAAAATGAGGCAAAATCAAATCTGGTTGGACTCCGATTTTGAAGATACACAATTTCACCATTCCTACGTCACTGACCTCCTATCGCATGAAATAAAACACTGAATGGAACTTATTTTCTTCTCTGAGCCATCTCTTCCTTCTAACCCCATTATTCAGATGATGGGTTGAATATTTTCCCATGCATAGTTTTGGCTGCTTTCTGCTCATTCAAACCACTTATCTCCAGACTTATATTCCATTTTCTCTTTACTTGACTTTTCTGTGGCAAAATCACTTGCCCTGCCCAAGCCAGTCTGTTCTCTCCTTTTTGTTATCTGTGTTTATTCCACCCTGACTTTTCCCGTCTGCATTTCTCATTCTCAAGCCTACCCATTCTCCAAGGGCCCACTTAAATCCCATTTCCTTTCTGAAGCCCTCTGAAGCTCTTAAGTCATAAAATTCTCTGTTTTTTAAAAACTCTTAAAGGTTGGTCATCTGTGTCCTTTGGATTGTGCTTTTCATGCACTGTTTTGTAACATTGTTATTGTATAAACGTCTTATTTCTCCAAAAATATCTCCAGCCCCAGGAGGAACAAGGAGAAACTTACTGATTTTTTTCTGCTCATTCCACAATGATATAGTGCTGGGTCGTGTGCAAAAAAGTTGTTAATTGAGCCTGTTTTCTTCCAAAATGGTCATTATTCAGTTTTTGTGAAACTTCAAACTAATAGGAAATTGTAATCTGTGGCGTGAAATATTAATGAAAACAATTAAAAAGGGTGTTATTTTTGGAAGTAAGAAAATGGCAATATCTTCTTTATTAAACTTTATACATCTGCGCCAGGTTTAGGCAAATAAAACCAAGAATACTGGACACTTGCTACAAAAACCTGGACGTTCTCATAAAGCCAGCAGCACAGAATGCCTTCTGTGCTCTAAGGCTGGTGTCAAGAAACTTAGTTTGCCAAAGAAAACTGTAAAATAGGAAAGGGTCAAAGTTAAAGACTTAAATGAAGATGACTTCATACAACTCTCAGAAGTCATTACATTGGCTCCCATTCACCCCCCCCCCACACCCCCTGCTGATTGTGTTAGTTTAATGTTGAAAGGGTGTTTCCTCTCATTCACTTTGTTATTAATAATAGAGGTTAAATTATCCATCTATTTAAGAACAAGAAGAAAAAAAGCCCAAACTTAATATTGATAACTGGAAATCTCTTGATCTATTAGTAGATAAGAAATCAACACTGCTCTCAAACCTTTCTGCTAATGGAATCATCACAGCACCTCCGGGAGCCCAGAAGAGACTCACATGCTGTGAAATAAGCTTCCTGTTGTCCCCTCCCTTCCCCTCACCTAATGGTAGAAATCTATAGTCTCCAATACATCAGCCAACTAGGGCAATTAAAAGTGTAATTACTTGGTGGTATAGAGTGAAAAGTATATGTATTTATCACCATTCAGAGTCCATTATGACAAAATTTAAGAACTTCTAAAAACAAGGTTGTAAGCGGGTGGCCCCAGAGTGAAGGAATCCTTTCTGTAGAGGGGTGTGTCTGTGTCTCTGTGAGTGTTCTGCATGGCTTTCCCTTCTCTGTCTTTTCTTCTTCCCCTCTTTTTTACTCTTCCCTTTCTTTTATTTTCCTTCTTTCTCTTTATAGTCGAAAAGATCTTTTATAAAAATCTGTATTTCTCCTTTGTTTCTACACATACATAAAAATCAGAAGATTTTTTAATTTCCGGTTGACAACAGTAGGTGGCGCTGTAGAGCGCTCCCTGCTTGACAGGCAGAAAACCTCCCGCGCCCACTTCCCACCTGCCCTGCCCTGCTTCACTCTCTAATGTTGCTGAACTTCAGGCGCTATTCCCAGCTGAGTCTGAGGACCTTGTTCTAAGAGTGTGAACAGAGTAGGGTCCCAGACTCATTTTCAGTCCTTGGCGGGCAGCCTGATGTGTTTAAGAACGTGACTCTGGGGCAGACTCCTTGGATATGAATTATCAGTTCCACTACCTAGCTCTAGTTCTGTGTACTTGGGCATGTAACTTAAACTTCTAGGACTCTGGTTTAATCTACAAAGTGAAGATAATAACAGCACTGCCTCATTGGGTTCTCCTGAGGAATAGACTTGATGTTCAGAACTTCAACGGTGCTTAATACTTGTCAGCTTCTTTTGAAAACCTCAACATTTAAGCTTTGATTTGTGTTACAGAAAACATTGTTCTGACACCTGTTAAAATGTTAAGAAAACTTTATTCAGGACTTTTGCGATAGATGCCAAGACCATCACAATCAGGTTAAGAGACTGGGCTCAAATCCAAATACAACAAGAATAAGAAGGAACTTATAGTGAAGGAGCCAGTTGGGGGGAGGTGTCAGTGGACGAAAATTACTAAGAGGAGACATCAGGGGTGGCCGGGGTGGGGGGTTCTTGCTAAATCACATAAAGAGATTTTGCTGAGGACGTGGTCAACCAGGGTGATCAGATATCAAGGAAGGAGAATTCTCTCTAAATTGGCTTGGCAAGATTCTTCCTAAAACTAGACTCTGCAAAGGATGAGTACAGAAGCCCAAGGGTGAGGCCCAGTTGAAAAGAGGGCTCAGATGAGTCTGGCTGAAGTCTTGTCAAAGGGAGAGTCTTTATCATCTGCACCGGCAAAATAAGGATTTTCTGAGAAGCCGTTTGGCGCA